GAAGAAATAATTATAAACATTAAGAGGCTAAAAATCTCTGTCCTAGATATGCCCCCTTCATTTTAAAATCAGCCTGCAAGAAAAGCACTGAGCTAGGCAGCTCAGGAGGACAATTAGGTAGACAGGTCTTTGACTCCCAAACGATCTAGGGAGATTAACAAACCAATGTTGTCCCAGAAGTCTCGAAAACTCCAGTTCTTTTGATATAAAGCCTACTAATCAAACCACCCTTTATTCTGACAAATTTGTGTACCACAGTGAGCTGCCACTTCCCATGGGGGGATGTCATGGTGGTACAGAGCAAAGGCCAGGGCTCTGTGGAAGAAATCTATTTTCATCTGAGATTCCCAGCCAGAAGTATCTTCCTACCAAGAAGGGTGTAAGATGCCTGCCATTGCCATCGCTCCCGACCACTGAGCTGTCACTGCAGAAGCAGAGAGGGAAAGCACATCAATGTCCTCTAGCAGCACAATTTCAGTTGACAAAGAGGGTTTACTATACATCGCAGGGAAGGAAATGCATGCAGAGGAACTGAGAGCATCTCAGTAAGAGGCTGTTAGAAATAAACCTACTATCAGGCCAGGGCTGGCAGGTGGTATGGTGGTTAAGGGTGCTGGACTCCCACATGGCCGACCATGGTTCAAGTCCCTGACCTGGCAGTTTGCTTTCTTTCTTTCTCTCTCTTACCACCTCCCTCCATCCCACCTCTCTGGTCAAATTAAAATAAGTAAGTAAATAAATAAATAAATAAAGTTAAATAAAATAATTCTTTAAAAAAGAAAAACTATTATCAACAGAACTAGGGCTCTGGTTGGGTTCTTTTGGGAAGGATCTAGAAATGCAAAACTTTATTCCAAACTGGATGCCCTCAGGAAGTGGGGCGAGTTCTATGACTGAATAGTTGAGCAAGTCTTACTCAACAGACAGACAGGCTAGAGCAAGAGAAAAGCTGTGCTTGGTAGAGTTAGCAGTCATTCAAGAGATATTTGAGGCAAAGGCAGGAAAGGTAACACCAGATAGGAACAGTGTTCATGGTCACCCTGGGTAAGAACTGTTATCACCTCCTTTAGGCAGAAGACCTGTTGATTTCAGAAACTTGCCAAATAACATTTGAGTTATTATGCATATTTGTGTCTAGATCACATTCTAGAACATGGCTCTGTATATATCATTCAAGGCACTTCTCGGCCCTCTTCAATAAAGTCTATGTTAAAATACCTTTTCTGCAATAATTTCACACAATTACTTAGAACAGACAGACTCTACCTGACTATTCAGTCGCATTTCTGATGTGCAGAGGGGTTAAAACTGACGGTCACTGCTTGCTTCTTGAACTATATGTAATTAAGAAACAACGTCACTTCTTCCCAATCAGTTTCAGGCTAATATTTTTGTAAAATACAATAAAAACGTATTCCTTGAAAAAGAAAATGAGAAAACAAGACACAAAACACTAGCCCCATTTTTTGTTATTAGATCCAACAAACATACAATAACAAATTGCTATAAAAATTTCTATTCAATAAACACTTATTTTCACTGTCTGTATTTATCTTGTTATAAACCAGAGTCTATGAAGCATACTTTATGTGGCACTGTTTTAGTTTTAGTTAACTTAAAAGCATTCTGTTTAATATAAATTAATTCTGTCTGGTGTGCTGCCTATGTCAAATTCACGTAGCCCCCAGCAAGGCAGCATGGAGAAAAGGCAGCAAAGACATTACTCGGAGGGCCTTGCTATGGATCCTCCAACCTCAGTGAAGAATAAACACCTGTGGCTGCTCCCTACACACACCAGCTTCAAAAAAACACATGTAGAAAATCAAATACCAGAATCCCTCCTACATCAATCTAAAATTAACCTAATAAAAAGAATCAACCTTCACATCCAGGTAGGGCTTCAACAGCATTCTCTTCCATATCAGAGGATATAACCATGTGCTTGATGAAGCAGAGATTTTTTTTTCCAACCAGAAGTGGCTGTACTTTCTACCAGGACTACTTGGATTTAATTATAATCCCCAAACCTCCCAGGGCAATTACTTAATAGCCCATCAGGCTAATCCTTAAATATCCATGTCATCTCAGTATTCCTCTGCCCCCCACCGAAGTCAAGAAGTTCAAACTTAAATTCCTACATAGCAAACCAAAGGAAAGTAAATAGTTAGGCAAGAGCTGGTCAGCCACATTTATTCATATTCTCACCAATTAAAATTCCCATTTTCCCCCTACTAAAAGTTTATGCTGTCCAACGCAGTCCTACAATTTTAAGAACACATTGACGAGGGGCCAGCAGGTGGCGTGGAGGTTAGGGGCACTGGACTCTCACATGAACGACCACAGTTCAAGTCCCAAACCTGGTGGCTTGCTTTCTAGTCCACTTCCCCTGGTCAAATTTAAATAAACAAATAAATGAAGTTAAATAATTATTTAAAAACAAAACAAAACAAAAGAACACACTGATGCTCAGTGAAGTAGCTGGTGATTTGCTCTCCGTAACCCTGCCTCTGTTTCTCCCACCACCTGCTTTCTTCTTTCTGGCAACTCAGCTGCAGTGAGCTGAAAACTCCGGAAAAGGTGTCCATTTGATTATGGCCACACAGCCAGCACCACCTGATAAAGCCAGGCCCACCCTCTTCCTGGCTCAAACTCAAGGTCTGGGTTATTTCTCCCTACTTAGAAATTCTGCCCCATTCATAAATCTCCCTCCACAAGATACTTTCCTTAACCTGAATTTAAGTAAACATGATTCATAAGATATATTAATATACTTCATGAAATATAAATATGTAAAATACTTTATTATTGAAATACACACACATACACACACACACACATATATATATATATTTTGCCAGCTATTTTAGACCCTGAAACCCCATGACAAATTTCACATTTTTATATTCAACAAAGTACAATGATGATTACTTTTTTCACCATTCTGCAGTACCTTAAAGAGGGTTTGGCCTGTAAATGGCTTCCTACAAATATTTTTTAATTAATTAATTGCACACACATCTAGCATATTGTTCAAGCTACTGGGACCCAGATTCAAACTGCAGTCATCCATGTGGGATCTGACTCCCTTAACAACAAGGCTATAGGGCCAACCCTATAAAACTCTTTAAATAACACTGAATTAAGATGTATACTTAAAAAAAAAAAAAGAAAAAAAGATGCATACTTAAGGGACCAGAAGGGGGTGGGGTGGTTAAGGACGCTGAACTCCCACATGGCTGACCGCGGTTCGAGTCCCGGACCTGGCAGCTTGCTTTCTTACTCTCTCTCTCCTCGCTCAATCTCTCTCTCTCTGGTCAAATTAAAATAAATAAATAATGTTAAATAAAATAATTCTTTAAAAAAATATATAGTTAAGGTATTTTACTCCCCAGTATAGTAAGACAGTACTTTCTATAATTTCCTATATATCTTAGTATTGACTCAAAGCTCTCTCAGTCAATAAATGCGTCTAAATGTAATCTTCTTTTCTAGAAAGGGCATTATTTTTATTTAATGACAAATTAATTCAGGTCTATTTGATTGTTTACACAGAATGAGAAAAGTTTGGGAGATCTTTTTTATGTCTTTAAGCCTGAAGATGGTACAGCATCAAGCATGTCAGTGTAAACCTAAACCAGTGGCGTTCAAGTTGGAGACATGGACCTGCTACATACATGCTATAACATTTTCTATGCAGGTTTATAAACCCTACAGAATATCTAAAGTCAATACGAGAGTACAGAAATTAAGTCTAAAACATAACTAACTCACTCGCATTTGGTAAAACGTATGGTTTTGTAAGTCCAAGGGATGGGGCCTAGGGATAGAGAGGATAATAGTAGAATATTCAAAGTATTTTCAGAGGACCATCAAAGGGAGAATCATTACAATAAGGGATGAAAGTAATATTTGAGAACCCCCAAAGCAGTGAAAACCCATAACAGCTCTGAACTCCCAAAGAGCAGCATCCTGACTAGCACAGGAAGAAAAACTGCTGCTCCTTTTGAACAGACTTAGAATTAGCAGTGAATGAAAGAGGCAGAAACACTGACACAATTTGCAAATCACATCTGAGGTACAAAACGAAACGTCTCACAGCCACAGAGGATGTAAAGAAGGGTCGGTGACTATTGGTCTCCACCACAAAAACTGAAAAAGCAATGTATGAGTTATTTTCTTTGGGGGAAAAAAAAAGTCAAAGCTGCTATGCAGAGAGAAGTACATCTTATATTCATAAAGTGCTGCTATATGGATAAATTCCAACAGAAAATCTGCTCATTCTATGAGAACGCTAAAGAACGCTTTCAAAATACTTTCCTTAAAAAGATATCCAAAGTTTCCCCATAAAAAGTGAAATACTGTCATTTTGGAGGAATCTGTGTTTCTTTAAAGTTTTCATGAGGTTTTGAAAGAAATAAGGAAACAAAATCCCCCATTGTAACACAAGTGAAAATATAAACAAAAAAGTGTTAAAACAGTTGTCTTTTTTCCTTGGAGTATTGTCTTCATGTCACAAATTGATTCAAAGTACATATCTTTGACTCTAAAATGCTTTCTAGAGTTTTCTATAACTTAAAATGTAACAATGATGGGACCAGCACTTGGCATAACGGTTATGTCACTGGACTCCCACATAGTCAATCACAGTTTGAGTCCCAGACCCAGTGGCTTAAACTCATGTCGGGTGCATGTGCATACGTGCCCAAGATTCCAAGAAGAGAATGGAGGAGAAGGGATTGTGGTGGACCATCCCCCCTGGAAGGAGATTTCTTGCTTTCTGTCTCTCTGTCTGTCTCTGTCTTTCTGGCCAGCGCACACACCCTATAGCAAAAATCTCTCAAAAAACAAACAAAAAAATGTAACAGTGAGGTATGTTTCCACCCCTGCCTTCCTGAGCATGCTGAAGCCATGCTGTTCTTCCATACCTGCAAACACGCACACGTACATACACACACACACACACACACACACACACACACACACAGAGGAATGAGTCTTACCAGACCATCACAGTTGCTGATTGCAACAGAAGTTCCCGGAACGTCCACAATGTCACCAACATAAGCACAGTTCGTCTGCAAAGGCTCTGTTTTCCAGGCTGTCTCTGAAGTATTTCCTGGCTGAAGGTCATCAATGGAGTCGGTTATATTCCCAGGCACCAGAGACGTCTCATGCCATTCCACGACAGCCCCAGGTGCTACTAGTTGAGTGTTGGGCTTCAGTCGCAGTTGAAAATTTTTTCCAAATGCCGTGATGTTAAAGAACAAGTGCTCAGAGTTGGAAGACACGTCCCTCCTTGACCTCTTTTTGTGATTTGCAGACAGAATGTAGGAAAGATAGTGTCCTTCTAGACTTGTGCTAATTGGAGTCACCAGCTCATACTCTCCGTGTCTCTTTACGGGTAAATCTGTGGGATGAAAAACAGAATTGTAGATCCTGTGCAACAAGAACAGGGGCGGAGATAACATGGTCCCCCCTCACAGACTGTACCTCAGTTTGTATAATACAGTCCCGATTCATAAGTTAGAGGGCTCAACTCACTTTTCAAATACACTTAGCTAACTCTATGTTCAATGAATCTGTTTTTAATTGAAAAAATTTATAATGTGAATGTTTATAGCTCATCTATGTTTGAGGACATGGATACTGTTAAGTCTCCATAAACTATATCTGACTTGCTTAAAATAAAGACATATCCCTAATCATTCACATAACTGACACCTTCTACAAACTTTTAACAAAGTTGCTATTATTGTAGAAGATTTCTTCTGATTGTTTTAATTTTTTCCCTGTAGAAATACTATACTTAATACTAATTATAATAGCTTCCTTTCTGTTACATCTACTGTGAGCCTGTAATTTACACACTGTACTTTATAGGACTGTGGTTTATACATGTTTTTTCCTTCGTAACAGCCCTAATGACTATATTTCACAAGTGAGGAAACCAAGATTCAGGAGGGGTTTTGTCCAAGGTCAGATATAAACACAAGCTGAGATATAAACCTAAATTGTACCCCAAAGCCCATACACTTATTCTGCTAGATTATACCATGACCCATAAATCATTTTCCATAAAAAAGAACACAAGCCAAAAAAAAGAGAGAGAGAGATAACAACTATAAATTGAATATGCAAATACTGGCTAGTTAAGAGGAAATGTTATTCTCATTTTTCACCATATCCCAAACATGGGACAGATATTTATTTGAATATACATGGAGCTCATCTTATAACATGGGTGACCACTAACATGTTTAAACTGAATTTCACAATTAGGGTTTAGCTCCCCTGGTGTAGTCAAATGTGAGTATTGTGTCTACTAAAATGCAAACACCCTTGGGAAAGATAACACATTAAATGAACCATTCATCCCTCCATAGAAATGATTTTAAAAGCAAAGGACAGTGAATACTAGAAAAGGAAACAGAAAGGGACATGAGGATGAAAAGTATGAAAAAGAAAAACCTGAGAATATGAATTAAAACATTGCCCATTTTCATAATTTTAGCCTAAGACTAGTCCTATAACATGTTAAAGTGTACTAAAATTTTTACATAATTAAAAAAAAATACTCCCCACCTACGGAAATTGCATGTTTTGCTATCTAATAAAATACTTAGAGCACAAGATCCACAAAGAACTCTGAGACCTATACTTTTAACATCTGCTTATAGAATCACTATGTTTTCACTATTTTCCTGCTTGTTATCTAATGCAAGCAATGTGTAAAGTATTGGAAGCAAATGAAGGCATTTTGCAACTTGGACTTTCTTTATCTCCATGTTTATTAACCTTATGCTGCTCATAATGACCAACGTATTTAAACAAAATAGCCCTCTTTAAGAAATGCACAGAGCAAGCAACACTTGCAAATATTCAGCAGGCAGAGGAGTGAGAACTCCTATGACAGTAGAGTAAAACAAAGGCTGGCTCTCACTGGCAGCAGGCCAGCACAATCCCAGCTGAACTCCAGTAGGCATCACCCAAATCACAGACACAAAAACTTCTCTCTCTTAACCAAATCCGTGGTAAATACTTGCATAAATTCTGGTTTAGAGAGAGAACTTGAAATGTAGGGAATGAACACAAGTGTGATGGGAGCAAAGGGATGCGGTGAGGTGAAGGGGTAGAGAAAGTTCCAGCCATAGTATGGGATGAATCAAGTCTTAGCAGATGGGCTGACAAAGCTGACCCCAAAGTAACTAAAACTTTTTGAGGACCAGGAATTCCCCATTCGACTTGGTATTTCCAATATCATCTAATACACGATTTCATACTTGCTGGGGTCTCTTGTCACTTGGATTTAATGTGTATTAAATTAGGAATGTAGGTAACCAGGGAACCTTTGCTTTGTCTATACTGCTACACATGTTGACGTACAGAACACTCAGCCCAAGGTCAATGAGCATCTGGCTGCAATAATCTCAGTTATAATTCTTTCTCTAACCCTCAGTGTACTGTTCCAAGGGAAGGAAGAAGCAATGCTTAATTTCAATGAGTGGATTTTCCATCTCCACGGAAGGGAATTTACACAACCAAAGTCTAGACAATATTCTGATGACTAGATTAAGTGACAATGGAACATGAAAATTTGGGCAGAGTACAGGGTTCTCCATCCCCAAGAGGATAACCAGAGTCTCATGCTTTACAGTAAACCTCACATTCTAGGTTCTTTGGGACAGTTCCATTTTCCCACTGACAGTATGTTCTGAATTTTTATTCAAAATTAAGGATGGCGAATTTCTGCAAAGCTTTGTCTTCCCTAATGCTAACTAATAAATCATTCCTAAAATGTAGACATAAGAAACGGTTCTTAAATTAAACTTAGAATGAGCAATTTTCATCTGGGAACTGAGGTAATTAGAGAAAAGATGTACTTAGCAACCCCTTGGGCTGGATGGAAATTAATGAAATTGACAAAGGAACTGGCCAATCACCTGCCATCGATTAGTGGACTACGTGCTGGGCTCTATGGGCTGCACTTGAGAATACATCATCTCTAACACAACAACACAGTAGGTCGGTACAACACTATTGCCACCATTTCACAAATGAGAAGGTAGAGCTGACACACAGCAAAGAGCCTAAGGAAAATTTCAATTCGGATGATTTCTATTTTGAAGACCAAGATCCTATGCTCTTATTCACTTCAGAACACAGGAAACATCTTCCTGTTAATTTCTAATTCCAGATCTGAATTCTAAAAGAGAAACTACCACAAGAATAACATTCTACCTCCCTGCAGTCGGTCAACCAATTTTTCCTCTAGTGTAGCTTCCATAATCTCTGTAAAAGGCTCTTAAATTCTGGTCTTGAGGTGTGGGGAGAATGAGGCTGGTGGGTAGAAGCTCAAAACGATCAAAAGTATTTCAGTCTTAGATTATAATCACATAAGCAAACCAAATCATATCCAAGGTAAATTTACTGATTTCAGGAATTATATATTTTCTAGGTCTAACTATTTCCTTAAAGGACCACAGCCTTTTGTTAAAGAATAAACTACAGCTTCAGCAACAATTTCAGTCAATTTATGAACAAGTTCTTTATCTTCTCTCAGGCTCAGTTTCCTTAGGTGCTAACTGGAGGTTAGTAATAGTTCCAATTTCATAAGGTAGGTGAGAAGTTTGAGTACGCAGAAGATCCAATGAACATTAGCTATTATGTTTAGACCTCTTGCCTAAACTAAGGAAGACAGGTTCCATATGGTCCACTAGGCAGTTTGAATCCCAGCACCGGTGGTTTCAAACATATGCATACATGCCTAAAATTCCAACAGGATGGAGACAAAGAGAAGAGATTTCAGTGAGCGCTGTCTCCTTTTCTCTCTAGCAAATGCATGTGCCCTCTGGCAATTATCATAAAGAGAAAAGAGAAAAAAAGAAGTGAAACTTGCATGTGTTTCTCACAGTTACAATGATCTATAAATCAAATCAATGACCTATCAGACCCAGCTACAGTGGTGCAAGTGGTAGGGTGCCACTGTGGAAGCCACATGGGAGGCCTGGGTTCAGCTCCTGCACATTCTAAACAGGCCAGGCGTGGTGGTGCTTTCCAGCTAAGTGGGAGACCAGACCAGAACAAGCATGGTCAGACTCTATCAAAAATACTTCTACCTTCCTCTTTTTTTTTTTTTTTTGGAGAGATTTTCGCTATAGGGCGCGTGCGCTCGCCAGACAGACAGAGAGAGACATAGAGACAGAAAGCGAGAAATCACCCGCCAGGGGGGATGGTCACGCCGCAATCCCTTCTCCTCCATTCTCCTCTCGGGATCTTGGGCACGCACGCACACGCGCCCGGCATGAGTTTTAAGCCACCGGGTCCGGTACGCGAACCGCGGTCGACTACGTGGGAATCCAGCGACATAGCCATTATGCTAACTGCTGGTTCCCTTTTACCTTCCCCTTAAAAAAAAAAAAAAAAAAATCATATCCAGGTCTTAATTTTAAGTGGAGCTAATCATTAAAACAGACCTCCTAAAAGGCAGACACTGAGCTGAGCCCCTCCTTCTTAGAAGCAGCCAGCAGAAAAATTAGCCCCCACTCTGCAATCCCTCTGGATACTTATGGAATTACAAGTCAAAAAAACTTTTAATTTAAATTTTAAAAACCTTGAAAAAAAACCACCTCAAAACCCTTCTTTTTATGCATCATTCACATTAAATGGCTACAATTACTTCTTCATAAGTTAGCAGTGGAGCATCATTAACCTATTCCTTTGCTCTGTGGGAAGAGGTTTTTCTGAGTACCCCTGGCCACTCTCCACCCCTCAACTCACCTTTTTCTACAGAATATAGGAAGTGGTTGGGAGTCTGGGAAGCAGAGGAAGTTTGCAAAGCTCAATAGCTCCGTCACCTTCCTGAGAGCAAGACTGGCGAAGAGTACTAGTTCTCTTCTGCTCCACAGTGACCTCTCTGCCCTGGCTTGGCGGAGCTGACACACACTACACAGGTATACCTGCCTATCAAGAGGAGAGCCTTATGTTCTACCTAGCCTCCTTGGCAAAGATATTTTAGTTTCACCTACTTTTTACTTTTTCTATGTATCAACCTGTTCAGAACCTGGACAGGCAAGAGCAGTATTTCTTTTTGTTTAGGTTTTTGCAATAGGGTGTGTGTACTCACCAAAGAGACAGAGAGAGAGAAAGTGAGAAATCATGTCACTCAAGGCAGATGGCCACACCACAATCCCTTCTCTTTCAGTCTTCTCTCAGGATTTTAGGCACGCACATGCATGGACCCAGGGTGATTTTTAAGCCATCAAGTCCAAGACTCGAACCATAGTTGGACATGTGGAAATTCAATGCCTTAACCACCACACCACCTGCTGGCCCCAAGAGGGGTATGTTTTTATTCAGGACCTCCTCAAAAACTCGGAACTACTTCTAAGGAAAAGTTTGATCACATCT